AAAAAAAAAAAAAAAAAAAAAAAGGAAAAAAAAGAAAAAAAGAAAAAAGAAAAAAAGAAAAGAGCAAGGTTTCATGCAGGAAGCTTTTGTGCATTTGTTCTGCAACACATTGTATATTTATCGAATGTACTGATGTACTGCAAAAATAAGTTACGAGCTAATGCTTGAGGTATTTCCTTTGTCCTGAAGTTACAGAAGTTCGATGGGTTTGACATCATTAACCAAATATCTGTAAATATGACTGTTGAACTGGGATATACATTCATAGACACTGGCCCTAGACTGAACTATCCGTTGTCATGTGTTCTGGTTTATTTTCTCTTTGCCCCTGTAAGCCACAAGTTCACCATCGTGACGTGATTCATCGATCATATCACTGAGATAATGTTCAATCTCAGAAGAACTTTCTAATGGACTAAAATGTTTAAGAGCTTTCTTGATTTCAGGACTATCAAGACTGTGTACAGAGGATGCTTTCTATTAGCCTTCTTCCTACCCTAACTATATCCTGCAGTTTGTATTCCACAGAAGCGATAAACTATTGGAATAGCAACATTTACATCCTTCAAATTTGGTGTTATTTTGGTAAGGAAAAAATGTATCCTTCACTTCAGTGAAGCTGCTTTCAGAATGACCAGACTGTATTAATTATCCTGATTTAAAACTGTATTCCATCTGAGGAGCCTCATAAGCATATGCTTGTCTTAAAATGGATGTTTAAACTCCATTGCAGTCAATTCTTAATGTGAGCACAAAATGCTCGGAGACTGTTTCAGGATAGATTACAGCTTAATTCAGGATAGTTGTGATATGTTCTGGCTACAGTGTTCATTCTGGCCCCTTTTTTAATGAAAATCTGCAGAAATGGTTCATCTGCTCTTACAGCAGCTGTTGAAGCTCTGCAATTTATAACCCAGTGTTTTAAAATAAATCAGCAGGAGTTGTAGCCTGTGAACCCTGTTAGGTGAGCACCTCAGGGAATCTATTTGGCTGTATACCCCAGGAAGGCAGCTACCAGAGGGGTAAATGTGAGCATGGGAGGTCGAGGTGGGGCTAAGCAGAGCCACCTCAAGCTGTACAATTCCCACCTCACATTCTGTGTGCTCCCATTTTCCTTGCCTCTGTCTCCAATCAGAAACAAAACTTTTATGCTTTTGCATCGAATAGGCCTGAATATTAAATCAAAATGCAGAGTCACTTGTGAAAGAAAACTCTGGTCTTGTTAGCTCTCATCAATCTTTTCCAACTGCCTTTCTATTGAGATCTCTCTGCTCTGATGTGCAGAAGTCAGACGCAGGAAAAGGTGGATGAAAAACTGCCTCCCAAGTGCTTTTATGGCTTTGAAATCATAGTTTATTTTTCCACCTTTTTCTCCCACTTTGTGATGATCACTATTATGTCTTTTTCCTACATCTTTCTAACAGAATAGTTGAGCAAGTTATCTGAAACCTATTATTATTCCTCTGCACTTTTTAAGGAATAACGTTCATTTAAAAATTCAAAGTGGCAACCTCCATCTGTGGCTCTGTGGGGCTCAGGGCTATAAACACAGAAGTTTCACTTAGCTATTCATTTCTAAGCAAGATAAAATACAGCTTATTTAGGTCACTGTGCACTTTTTTTTAGTTTTCCTTTTTGTGTGAGATATAGATTCAAAACAAAACTGTTTGCCACTAATTTCAGTCTTTCATGCTGTACTGTACATGAATTACAAACTACATATCAAGGCTTTTCTAGGGCTAGCTATCACTCTGCTATTTGAACATCTTTTCCATCATCCAAAAACTTGGGAAGGGTTAATCTGGGTCAATCTACTCAGCTTGAGAAAACCTGTGATCTTATCACAGGTTAAAATAGAAATGAAAACAAAACAAAACAAAACAAAAAAAAACAATATAAGCTCTTGTTTGGTTTTTCAGGATGCTTTACAAGGGTTTTGTTATGAGCTGCTATTGCTAGCTAAAAAGCAGGTGCCTTTGTCTATGCAGCTTTTTATCTGGAAAACTCCAGATAAACTGGAATAAGAAGTAAGTCTTTGTTCTCTTGAGTATGGCAGTGTAGGCATACCACACCTACTTCAGCAGGTACGAGGCTAAAAATTGTAGAAGACGACTTCTATATTTACTTAATTTCATAAGCAAGAAAAAGTCCACATCAGCTAGCACATTTAGGGAGCTGCTGTGAGGAAGTGAAATCAAACATATCTGTTTGTACTTTACTTGGAAAGACTCAGATGATTTTGGTCCTCCTTGTGGCAACCCACAGCCTCAGCGTAATTCTTGGAGTCCACGAATCTCCCTCCTGCTTAGATCAGCACACACAAGTTGTGCTACAAAACCCTTAGGTATGAACAATGAAAGTAGACTTTTCATAGAGAATGAACCCTACCCCTGGAGTCTCAAGCCAAGTGTAAGAGATGGAAGAAGAAGCAACACTCCATGTCAGGTAAGAATGGCTGTTACAAGGCCATTTATGAAGCAAGATCCTGAAAATCTATGAAATTACGTGTCTAAAGCTGCACTGTTCACCAGCCTTTGACCCTGGAATGTACAGAAATTTGTTTCAAAGTAGTCGCATGTCATAGAATCATAGAATCATTAAGGTTGGAAAAGACTTCTAAGATCATATAGTCCAGCCATCCACCTACCACCAATATTCCCCACTAAACCATGTCCCTAAGTACCAAATCTACGTTTCTTGAATGTCTTCAGGGATAGTGACTCCCCCACCTCTCTGGACAGCCCATTGCAATGCCTCACCACTTTTGAAGAAGAAATTTTTCATAATACCTAACCTGAACCGCCCGAGCACAACTTAAAGGCTATTACCTCTCATTCCATCACTGTTACCTAGGAGAAGAGGCAGACTACAACCTCTCCACAACCTCATATCAGGGAGCAGTAGAGAGTGATAAGGTCTCCCCTGAGCTTTCTCTTCTCCAGACTGAAAAATCCCCAGGCAGGTTTTTTTGTGCTTCCTTCTCTTCTTGTCTTCATTGAAATATTATTTTTCATTAAAAATCTGCTGTATTTCTGTATTATCATCATGCTACCAAGGATATATGCTGGAGCTGGGCTTTATAATAATAATAGCAAGAGTTGGCAACAGCAAGTGTTTCAGAAGCGACCGGATCTGTCTTGGCACACCTCTAGTTTAAAAAATACCTCACTGCAATTAATTAGCTGGAATCTGAGAGCTTCCAGAAGGAAAATTTTATGAGTTATCTCTTTCCTCTGGGAAGTAATCATTCAAGCCAAATCGCTGTTAACTGACATATTCACTCCTGAATTCTTTCAACTCAGCATCCACCTAGACTGTTTTCTCTCTTCACAGGAGAAGTGCCTGTGGAAAGTTATGCACTTTTATCCATTTCTTTCAGATTCTTTTCATATTTTTTTTTTCCTGAAAAAAAAGAGAGAAAAAAGTATGTTTAATGTTGATGTCACTGCTCTTGATACCAAAGTTTTCACTGCCTGCAGAACAGATGGAGAGTTACAGTGCCAGCAGGGCAAACTTCCCTCACCTCACAGTGCTCTTCCTTCCTTCATTAAAGCCAGCAGAAAGAATCTCTTCTACACCAGACTTAGAAATGGATTTGCTGGCATGACAAACATTTCCCCACTGCCCCTTCTCTGTGGAGAACAATGTCCACTTTATTCCCTCAGTTCTCCTCAGTAACATCAGCAGTAGAAGAGCCTATAGTTTGGTGCAGACCTCCAGCCAGCACCTCTGTCAAGACAGCTGTCTCAGCCAACGCCTCCTCTGTCACCCTCCATCTTTGGTTCTTCTGTTTTGTAGAAAACTTACAGCAGGGCCTAGGAAGGTGGGTTAGGCTCTAAGCCTATGAATCCATCTCCTTGTCCACATGGAAGGAGGGGAACCACCTAGGTACTCTCCTCTGTCCTACAACAGCTTTGCCAGAACACCATTTCAACACATCAGGAAGGGCTGCACCCAGCTCCTCTTCTCCAGGAAGTGCTCCTTAATTACATTCACAGAATTGGATGGGAAATTTCCAGAAACCTTCCTGATTGCTTCTATGACTTCTCTCCTGATTTACTGCAAGAGGCCATTATGGCTTTAAAGGCATTTCCATATTTTGCTTTCAGATCCATGAAGTGTGACTTCTGCAAAAATCTGACATTTCCTTTATCCCTCAAAGATCACCGAGGGCTCTTTAGGTTCAAGTCAGGCAAGCCATAGTTACTGGAAGAATCATAACTAGCTATTCTCAACAGAATGATTAACAACAGGATTGATATTGTCAATAGTTCTGTTTCCTGTTGTACATGGGCAATAGATTTCACTAGAATCTGTCTTTGTATATAGGATGTTTCTTTATCAAGCCATGCTTTTTCCTCTAAACCTAGGAAGGATACAGTATCGTTGCAATATAAATTTTTAAATATACCCTGTATGAAAGCAAACTGATTTCCTGTCTGACTTGTTCATCTATTACCTAGAGAGGAAGAAAGTGAAGCTCTTACTTGTTATGTAACCTGATTTTTATGCATGAAACCACACTGCAAGTGCTTGAGTGTGAAAAAAAACTTGGGAAAGAGCTATAGTAAACTAGGAGGAACTGAACACATAGGTTGGATTCCATCAGGAAATCTTAACTATCCACAGCACATGGCACAAAATGTCACACACTTAATTCCTGTTTAATTTATGCAACAATCAATTATGGCTATAAGAGAGAGGATGAGCAACCTGAAAAGAATTAGGCAATTCCCTTGCTTACAGGCTTTTTATTTTCAAACAACTATGGGCTGAACCCCTACTCCAGAATTAAACTGAGTTTTAACCTCATCTAGCAGATAAATGACTTTTTTTTGTTTTTACTCTTTTGCCTGGAGTAACTGGAAAATTTGGAAGGGTCAGCAGGCAAAGAAAACATTTTCAAGCTGAAAAGTAATGATTTAATATGCTAAACATCAAGAGAGACCTTATTTTTCCATGCTGTAGTCAGCATGCATCTATTTACTTACCTCAGGGCTAACAAGTAAAAGCATTACTAAATGAGGGCTGGTGCAGTTCATGCTATCTTTGCACTATATGAGAGTGACAGAGAAGAAGGGAAAAGCGTATTTTATATTCTGCAAAAGCAGATGTTCATTTTTCTCAGCTTGGCTCTGGTTCTTCAATATCAGACCCTAAAAAAAAGCACGAGAGACATGAACTCTCTTTTCTCAGAGAATGTATGTCCTGCCTACCATCACTTTGCAGGATTGGTGTCTCAGATTAGATCTCATACCGTATTTAATTTTAGAGCATATAGATGTATATTCATATAATCCCTCTCCACATTATAGGTCTGTGATTACACTCAGAAGATGTTCACAGTGAGGGATCTCCCCATGATTCTACAGACAAAACAAGACATGATTCATTTTAAGTCAAGAGGAAACTTTCTACTCACAGAAATGAGGACTACATTAGATTTGGAAATACTCATCACTCAAAACAGGTTTAAATATCCTTCAGCTGGTTTCATACTAAAGGAAATTATCAGATTTTCATCATTTTTATGCTTGCAGCTTAGGCTCCCAGCGTAGATAACTACATGCCTTAAACTTAAAGGCTGCCCATGAGTTGATAACAGTTGTTATCCATGCTTAATTGGATAAATTAAAACATAGCCAAAAACCAACTGCTAACCACTTAAAGTAGAAACTGCACTCACAAAGAATAACCAACAGTGGTCAGGGTATTAAGCAGCTATCAAACTTTTCCAGCAAGGTGTCTATTTCTTCATCGCAGTCTGCCACAAGGATCATCAGGAGGCTGAGGCACCCCCTGTGAAGGCAGGCTGAGAGAGGAGGGGTTGTTTAGACTGGAGAAGAGTTGGTCCTGGGGAGACCTCATTGCAGCCTTCCAGCGCCTAAAGAAGTGTTTGTCTGTGACTGGAAATTTTGAAGACCCTCTTGGACTCCAAAAAAAGAAGAACTTGGCAGGCCTTAAGGGAATCTGTGGAGTATCCTATGGGAGGTTACTGATTCCATCTTTGAACTCGGTACACTTACACTTTAGGAAGGCTGCAAATTTGAATTTGGGGATTCTTCATGCTGGTGAATCACTAAGTTGAGACTTGATAGAGAAAGGTCCAGTTCTCAATCTGTCATAAAATTCCTGCAGGATTCTGGACTAGCTGTTTGGTCTTTGTGGCTCAGAGTCTAGGCCAAAAAATAAAAATAATACCAGATCTTACTCTGTATCTCATTTATTGTGTAATTTCATAGGAAGTGTCATGAGATTGAGACTAGCTTTCACTAACCTTTATACATCTGTTTGCATTCTGAATACACAATATATTCATTTCCACGTAGCCTTGATCTTTCCTCTAATGTATATGAATAGCTGATAAACAGAGGGATGAGGCTTGGCACCTCTTGTAAACTGAAATTAAGAATTCAGCTGTTGAGCTGAGCCCCTGGAGCCAAAGCCTTTAGCATGCTTTCAGGTCTACTCTATACTTGTTGTCTGTTTCCTTTTAATTCAGACACTTTAATCCAAACACTGACTGATGCAAGGATATATGGAATCTAAGGACATCTGGTTAACAGCTATCAGCATAAGAGACAAAGATAACGGGCAAAGATAAGAGACAGGGGAAACAATAAATTAAACATCTAGATATACAAGCCCTAAGGACAAGATGAGATAACAGACAACAGCAAAGTCTGGAAATCTCAGGTCACTGTCTGAGGGGCCACTGACGAAATGATTCAAAGCCTTGAGGCAGTTCAGCCAGAACTTAGTGACTGATAAGAAGATAGGAAACATGTCCCATAGGAAAGAGACAACTGATTGTAGGATATTTGAAAGGATTTGAGGGGTTGCATTAAGCTGCTTATAGGATGCTTTGAGGGGATTTGGGGAATGTGTGAAAATTATTATGGGACAGTTTGATAAAAGCCAAATGTGGAAAAGGCAAGGATCAGTAATGATCATGCTGGAACTGGAACATGGGAAAATGGAAACATGAGAACTGCTGTCTGTCCTTTCTTATTATTAAATCCTATTCCCATTTCCTGTGTGACATCACTCTCTGTGCTGTTTGATGTGCTCCTGAAGTTCAAGCTGGCCTAGCCAGACAGCACCTGGAATGACAGGAGGTTAAAGCTGGTGATTAGATCAGTGATTAGGGCCTGAATTTGTGCTTAGTTACTTAAAAGTATGTATGAACATAAGATAATCTCAGTCCCAATCATCTGGAAAGGAGGAACAGGATCAAACCATCTGCATGTGCTGGTGTACTTCATACCTCTCCCAGCTTGCTCCTGTGGCCTCTCCATTACACAGAAGGCCTTACTAAAATAGATAGTAACCACTAATTTGTCTCAAATCGAGTGTTCAAATAACAGATAACAGATGTCTGGTTCAACAGCTGAAGGCCAGTTACTTGAGCATGTGCTGAAAACTATAATTATGAGTCAGTGATTTTGCCCCATCAATACTGAGCAGCCCAAGAGCCCCTTCAGCTCTCCTTCATGGCAGCAAGCTATACAACAGGATCTCCCCTGGAGTAGGAATGCCTCTCAATGTTATGCTTGCACAGAAATTCTTTACATCTTGATGTCAGGAGACTCCTTGCTGATACAGACCAGTAAGTGGCTTATTATTTGTTATAAGTTTGTTAGTTTTGCTAATATTATATCTTTGGTTGATTGTGGCCATATAATCCCTTAGATATAAACTGATGATCAAATCTGGGAGTAGAAGTGGATTAAGCTATACCCAGCTACCCAGCTATACCCAGCCTCCACTGAAGAGGAGTTCAGAAAGCAAGAGGATTCACTGTGAACCTCAGGACTCAACAAGAAGGTCTCCTGGATGACCCTCTTTACAGTTAATAATCAAGTGTACTTTACCATCTAAAACCTTGTTAAGTTGCTGTCTTAATTACAATTAAGCTTTGTCAAATCACAGTATTCTGTCAGTAAATATATTGCTGCTTCTCTCATAAGAGAGTAGCTTCCATCTGTGACAGCTGGTAGTGTTAGCATGGCTGCCTTTGTCCCTGCTGGCTGGTGCACTTGGACATCTACCTGCTCTGTGGTTGTGCATCTTTGATATGATCTCACTGTGGTTACTTGCTGGACCTACAAATGGTAACAGCAGCAGACTTAAGCTGTGGATGAAGAGGGAGAGTGAAATTATGGCTGGGTGGGCAGCTGGCAGATGTCCAACAATAATTACATTGTAGTTTTGTGATATGATACTGAGCTCTGGCTATGGAAAAGCAGCTTGAAGGGTGTTCTGTAGCAGTGTGATCCTGAGCATATCATTTTGTGCACACAGACATCCACTTCTGCATTAGAAGAGGTGCTGGTAGATCTGAATTCCTTTAGGTAGAATTTGAAGATTTGCTGCTGAAAAAGACTGAATGTAGGATAGTAATAATATTAGTATCTGAGCAGCTCTATTTTTTGATACTGTCTCAGCTCAGAATGGTGCAGTCACATGAGTAAGTGAAGAGGTGTTGTTTTGAGCATTCACATTTCTGAAGAATACAGGATAGTGGTTAGATCAGGACCTGCTTTATCTGAATGTCACATATCCTTGCCCAGTGAAATGAGTTAAACTCAACAAAACTAATTGTGCATGAGTAATTATGCCTCAGTAGGATTCAAGGTCATACAAGCTTATGAGAGTGAAGTGGCTGTTAGAGCCTGTGAAATGAAAGTCACCTTGAGGTTGTCTTGCTGGTTTAGGGGGAGTTCATGATTAGTGACAGTTTTGAGTATATATAATGAGTTTTTTTTCATATAGGAAACAACATAGCAGAGCTGAAAGGGTAGCATGCTCTCATGAGAAAGAACTCTGGAAAGCCTTTTCAAATAGATGGAAAAATAGAAAGCATATTTTCCTAACACCAGGTGTTACAGAAAGTTTGGCTCAAAATTTTCTTCTTTGGCACTATGTGTTTCCAGTACTGGAATTATGAGTCTTACTAATGGCACAAACATCATGCTGATATCTCCAGGTTGTCATATTAATCAACTGAAAAAATACATGGTTCGTATCTCTTTTTTTTCCCCCTCTTTATCACTGTTTTTACTTCCTCCAGCTAATTGTAGTCTCTTTCTTGTCTATGCATGCTTTCATGCTCCAGCTTCTTAACAGTGATTCTGTTTTTAAAGAATAGATGCAGCATTCTTTTTCTGTGGACAGGAGCCTTTTTCATTTGAAATGACCTTGTTTCTGTCTCAATTCATTTCATGCATCAGTTTAGAAGACACTACAGAGAGTTGGATGAGCAAATGGTCAGGTGAAATACAATAAATCTCACAGACCTTTTCTAGTTATTATTCAACTTTCGAAAGGACATATATCCTCACACCGTAAATGGGAAAGTCCAAGGGCTTACTTACTCTGTTGCAAATGTGTTTTGTTGCCTTGCATACCCTCTTGCATTTAAATCCCCCTACTTATTTTAGACAGCAGAAATGAGAACACCACTTATGGTGTCTACCTTGTAGAAAAGATATGTGCAAGATTCTGTGAGATCCTTTAAATGCAGTAGAAGTGTGTAGCTGTTATTATAGAAATAGACTGAATACTTTCTGCACAGACATTGTGTTATTATTAAGCAAATTTTTTCTTGTTGTAATCGAACAAGAAATTCTAAGTGTATAAACTGTAAACAGCACACACCTCACTGACAACTAATGGTAAATCTAAAGATTTTGGTTTCAGACAGTTCATACTTTTAAAAATCTGTCTTCCCCTCCATCTCCTGGAATTCCCCTAAATACAGCTCACATTTGATGCTCCCTCCATCAGTTTTATCTTACCACCATGAGACCACCATGGGAAGGTGTTCCCCTATCACAGTGTCAGAAACCCCGTCCATGTATGAAGCAATTGACAAAGAAAATGAAAGCAAAATTAATCAAAGTATTTTTCCTATGTCTTCGTGCCTCCTAGGTGGATTATTTTCTCTCTAGTAAACCAGAAGCTGTGTGTAAAACTTTCCTTGCAAGATAAATGAAGATGGCGAAACTGGATGCTGAGTGATGAGCTCTATTTTCGGCTTTTTCTCTTCCCCCAAGAGGAGCACCATCATTCTTTCTAATTTCATAGAATCATGGAATGGCCTGGATTGAAAGGACCTCAATGGTCATCTAGTTTCAAACCCCTGCTGTTGGCAGGGTCACCAACCACTAGATAATTTTAGTGAAAACAGCCAACAAGGTCGGGTGTGGTGTGCAAAGAACTGACAGATGTCTCCAATAAGAGAACAAATCAGAAGTGTCTGCTTACAAAGGCTGCTCTGAAAGTAATGCCTCTTATTTTATTAGATGTGCTCATGACATCAGAGGAGCATGTTGGTGGTATGACAGAAGAGGCTGAATCTTCCTAACAGTATTCCATTACATTTTGTTGCTGTATGACAGATGGCAGCAGAGGGGCACTCTGACAAAATGGCATCTGACATGGAAGTTTGTATGACACAAATGTCCGGAATTTAATCCATTGACATTCATTGACACCTGCTGAGCATTTATGGAGACCAAACAGTGGATGTGAGAACAGTGAGGTGGTGAGTGATGTGTTTCAGCAGTGGCACCAGCAACATGAAAAACAAGTCACGTAGCAGATGGCCATAACAGATTCTTAAGAGCATGGTATGCAAGTTCTTGTTCATCACTGGTGAAAATTTTTAGATGATTATGATGAAGGTGTTGAAAAATAGTGTTTTGTAACTGAGAATTTTGCTCTATCAAATATTATTATGTTATTATATGTTATGTTATTATATGTTATATGTTATATATATATATATGTATATATATAACATATATATTATATGTTATATGTTATTATGTTATTATATGTTATTGTGCTCGTTGATCTGTTGTAATTTCCATGGAAATAAATAGGAGGCATTACTTTGGGAGGACCTATGTAGATCATAAGGATGGAACCTCAGAAAAGAACAGGAATTGGAGAATTTCTCATGAAATTTCTCCTTTGCTAAGTCTGTAGCCCAGCACATGACTTTTTAAAACAGTCATCTATGTGTCGGTTTAAGACACAGCCATTTTAAGCCACATCCATTCCAGCCTCTTACTGAGACTTACCCTGCCCATAAAAAAGAAAAAATCAACAAAGCTACAAAGTCCTAGAATAAAGAATTCAACAAATCTTAAGTGCCTTGCAGGCCAGA